ACATCTGGTGAAAATTTCATGTCATTAGCACCTCTAGTAATATATTTACTGAGAAAAATGGTGACGTGTTCATTACTTATTTTACCCGCTGTATTCATACATCAGTAGAAATTGAAGCCAGCTATTCATGTATTATATCTAACCTGTGCATTGGTTTTCCTTGATCTACAGCTTTGTCAGCTAAAAGAACAAACCTTCACGAGAAAGTGTACTGAAAAGAAATCTTTTTATATAGAACATGTGATTACACTTGAAGCCCACCAACAATAGGTCCAATAAACCCAATCCATCCACACTCTAAATATTCGCCCCTTAAATGTGATAATCATGTGTTGCGTCTCAGTGTAAAAATCATCATTCCTTACAAAGGTTTACATTTATGTCTTGCGATAATTCCAGAGGAATACAATAATATAAGTTATTGTCATAAAGAATGACAATGGGAAACAGTGCTAATGTAGTCTATTGCGAAACAAACCAACAAAGAAAAGGCAGTGAAGTGGACGTTTCAGTTGTATCTGCTCGTAAGGTAAGCGCATGCTCGTTCAGTGGACATCAGTCTCTTTCCTCCTCAAAGTTAGTCGGCAAATAAATGCAAAAACGATAAAAAGTCCTGTGCAATGCTTCAAGAATTGTACCCCACAACCCCTTCAAAAAAAACTTGCTCTTTCAAATGGTTCAGAGTCTGCAGAAGTGGCACTGTTTAAACCAGATGGCACGAGGCGACCATATGTGGTGGAGTGATGTTCATACATTCACAACAAGGCAGAGTTTTAGTTCCTCTCCAGTTCATCTTTGTTCTAACCCTCCTCAGAAAATGCGATCAATGAAAAAAAAATTGGTAAGCCTTGTTTTATTTTATTTTATTTTTTAAAGCCAAAGAAATGCGAGCCATGTGTCAACACGTCTCCTCGGGTCACAGTGAACGTTTTCCACCGTTTGTCGTTTCGGTTTAATGGATGTGCCACAAATTTGCTCTATGAATCTAGAAGATTAAACGTGACAGGAAGTCTATAGGGAGGCTCAGTGATAGCTGCTATTGATCAAAGTAACTCAAGAAGCTCCCTTTTAGCCTGTGTGTTTTGTTGAACGCTTTTGACCCATCCAGGTACTGGGATACCCGAACCTCACCCATCTCATGCATTTAAATAGGAGATCCTGCTTTAAACATCTCATGAGTTGAGAATCTTATCAGCGGGTATGTAAAAAAAWTTTTAATTTAAGCCCCGGGAAGCACATAATCACAACAGGCCGAACAGTGGTTACAGTGTGACCTCTTGTTTTTTTCCCCAAAATGAAAAAAGAGAAAGGCATTGTGAAATAATTATTTTTAGCTCGCATTGATCCTCAGATGTCCGGACACATTCCTTCACACCAAATAAGTCCATCAGATTCACAGCTCAAGTGTGAAATACAGCTATGTTTAGTGCACAGAAGGCAGGTGGTCATGGTTGAGTTTAAACCTGACGGAGGCCACTGTGGGCCTTCCAGTTTGTTCTTAGGCATTCACCATTTTAGGCATTCTTCTTTGGATTAAAAAGGTGTGTTAATGTGAGTGTTAGTTCAAACTAACTGGTTGTTGGATATCTGTTTTTTTTTTTGTTACCTATAGCTGAAAAATCTCAGGCAAGCTAGGGATTTCTTTTTCTAGAATGTGATAATTCAGTTGAATAATTGAAAGCTGCAGCTAATTTGACTCAATCAGTCATACCTGATGACGTTTTATGTAAGAGTACAGCAGACTTGAGTCCATGCACCAGCTTGTACAAGCTCAGAGCAGAATGGAAGTCGAACGAGTGCTACACAATCCGAGCCTCCATCCCGTTTCCCTCATAGTTAAATTACTGATCATGGGTCGGTCCAAACGAGCTGTGCAAAACAAAATGTACCAGGCATGTTGAGTTTAATGCGCCATCCCTTCACCGAATGGAGTCAATGTGCAAATGTTGACAGGGAGGTCCTGCCTCGTCCTCTCCAGCTGAGTCCGGTGGCAACGCTGGCCTCCCCGCTGCCCTCTGCGGGCTCGTCCCGTTTGCGCAGCTTCGTGCTGAGCTGGATGATGCACTGGTCCCAGTCCTCGGGCAGCAGCAGCATGAGGAAGCCCAGACAGATGATGAACACGGCGATGAGGCGCACAGTGTTGAAATGGATTTCACACGTGAAGAGGTCCACCACTGTCAAATCACGAGAATATATTAAAGGAGGAATATCGTGCAAATCATCTTAAAGGGATCCATGATTAGTTGTAACATCAGATTTTATTTAATAAATATGTATTTTAACTGTAAAATAAAGACTGTAAAAATACTGTAGGATGTTCAGTTTTCATCATTTTTAAACTAAAAGTTAAAAAATATATTACACGGACGGGGCCATTTTATTTACACAAAGCATTCTGGGTAAATGATGTGGATAGGTCATCGGTGCTAGGCTGCTAGCGAGCTATATCCACCCTGAAGGTTAATCTTTGACAATATCTGACGACTGGCTTAAATGAAACCAGAGAGCGTTGACAGAGAGGAGAAGGTAGAAATGACTCAGCCTGTAACTGAAAATATGGATGGAGGACCTCCGTTTAGCTTGTTTGTCGCGCTAGCGCTGAACTAATACATATAAGGCATTAGGCTAAGCTGAGGTTCTTCCATGAAGCAGCTCTGTTGTCCTCCATCCACATTTTCAGTTGCAGACTGAGTCATTTCTACCTTTTCCTCTCTGTCAACGCTCTCTGGTTTCATTTAAAAGAGTTGATCATCAGATTTTGTCCGAGATTAACCTTCAGGGTGGATATAGCTCACTCACGTTGTGCTTTGTGTGTAAATAAAATGGCTCCGTCCGTGTTAAAATACATTTTAAAAAATTTACTAAACTAAACAGCCTACAGTATTTTTAC